GGGGGGCCTCGTGGGCCGTCTTGGGCCATCTTCAGGCTATCTTAGGCCGTCTAGGGTACATTTTGGGGCCGTCTTGGAGGCATTTTGGGGCCATCTGAGCCGTCTTGGAAGCCATCTTGGCCGTCTTGGAGGCATCTTGGCCGTATTGGAGGCCATCTTGGGGCCGTCTGGGGCAGGAAAACTGTTGGCAACCACCTCTTCCGGGTGGCCGGCGGGACGCGCCGGAACCCCAGGGGGAGTTTTTTGGGGAATTACCTTGTGACGTACCCAACCCATTTGTATCATGGGAAACGAGGAGTTGGCCGAAACTTGCACGGACAATCGAATTGCAGGATCCGTTGTTTGATATGTAAGCTTCTTGGGACACGCGCCAATGGCATTATGCACAGGAGAACCATACCAGAACGAGGGGCGACAACTACAGGCTCGAAGAGGACATGGGGAGTCGGGAACGAAGAGCAGGAGAAAGACGTGCGGGAAGCCCACTGTGCTGTGCCCCTCAGCAGCCTTCAGATCGCAGCCCCCCAGGGATGGCGAGGTCCAATCTGAGTCTGCGGTGAGTACCCACTGTGCTGGGCCCCTCAGCAACCCTCGAAAGTGGCGACAGTTTCACATATCGCAGCCCCCCAAGGATGGCGAGGTCTAATATGAGTCTGCGGTGAGTACCCATCGTGCTGGGCCCCTCAGCAGCCCTCGAAAGGGGCGACAGCTTCACGGTCCCATTTGAGTCTGCGGTGAGTACCCACTGTGCTGGGCCCCTCAGCAGCCCTCGAAAGTGACGACAGTTTCACAGATCGCAGCCCCCCAGGGATGGCGAGGTCCCATTTGAATGTGGCGACAGTTTCACAGATCGCAGCCCCCCAGGGATGGCGAGGTCTCATTTGAGTCTGCGGTGAGTACCGACTGCGCTGGGCCCCTCAGCAGCCCTCGAAAGTGGCGACAGTTTCACAGATCGCAGCCCCCAGCAGCCCTCGAAACGCAGCGACGAGCGAGGTAAGAAAGTGGCGACAGTTTCACAGATCGCAGCCCCCCAGGGATGGCGAGGTCTAACTTGCTTCCGCCGTGGGTACCGACTGTGCTGGGCCCCCCAGCAGGCCTCGAAAGTGGCGATAGTTTCACAGATCGCAGCCCCCCAGGGATGGCGAGGTCACATTTGAATCCGCCGTGGGTACCCACTGTGCTGGGCCCCCCCAGCAGGCCTCGACAATGGCGACAGTTTCACAGATCGCAGCCCTTCAGGGATCGCGAGGTCCCATTTGAATCCGCCGTGGGTACCCACTGTGCTGGGCCCCCCAGCAGGCCTCGAAAGTGGCGACAGTTTCACACATCGCAGCCCCCCAGGGACGGCGAGGTCACAGTTGAATCCGCCGTGGGTACCCACTGTGCTGGGCCCCCCAGCAGGGCTCGAAAGTGGCGACAGTTTCACAGATCGCAGCCCCCCAGGGATGGCGAGGTCCCATTTGAATCTGCCGCGGGTGCAGACTGTGCTGGGCCCCCCAGCAGGCCTCGAAAGTGGCGACAGTTTCACAGATCGCAGCCCCCCAGGGATGGCGAGGTCTAATTTGAATCCGCGGTGAGTGCCCACTGCGCTGGGCCCCCCAGCAGGCCTCGAAAGTGGCGACAGTTTCACAGATCGCAGCCCCCCAGGGATGGCGAGGTCTAATTTGAATCCGCCGTGGGTACCCACTGTGCTGGGCCCCCCAGCAGGCTCGAAAGTGGCGACAGTTTCACAGATCGCAGCCCCCCAGGGATGGCGAGGTCTAATTTGAATCCGCCGGGTGCAGACTGTGCTGGGCCCCCCAGCAGGCCTCGAAAGTGGCGACAGTTTCACAGATCGCAGCCCCCCAGGGATGGCGAGGTCCCCGCAGGGATCGAAAGGTCTTTGAATCCGCTGCACTGTGCTGGGCCCCCCAGCAGGCCTCGAAAGTGGCGACAGTTTCACAGATCGCAGCCCCCCAGGGATGGCGAGGTTTAAGTTGAACCCGCCGCGGGTGCAGACTGTGCTGGGCCCCCGAGCAGGCCTCGAAAGTGGCGACAGTTTCAGATCGCAGCCCCCCAGGGATGGCGAGGTCACAATTGAATCCGCCGTGGGTACCCAGTGTGCTGGGCCCCCCAACAGCCTTCGAAAGTGGCGACAGTTTCACAGATCGCAGCCCCCCAGGGATGGCGACGTCCCATTTGAATCCGCCGCGGGTGCAGACTGTGCTGGGCCCCCCAGCAGGCCTCGAAAGTGGCGACAGTTTCACACATCGCAACCCCCCAGGGACGGCGAGGTCTAATTTGAATCCGCCGCGGGTGCAGACTGCGCTGGGCCCCCCAACAGGCTTCGAAAGTGGCGACAGTTTCACAGATCGCAGCCCCCCCAGGGATGGCGAGGTCCCATTTGAATCCGCCGCGGGTGCAGACTGTGCTGGGCCCCCCAGCAGGCCTCGAATGTGGCGACAGTTTCACAGATCGCATCCCCCCAGGGATGGCGAGGTCCCATTTGAATCCGCCGCGGGTGCAGACTGTGCTGGGCCCCCCAACAGGCCTCGAAAGTGGCGACAGTTTCACAGATCGCAGCCCCCCAGGGATGGCGAGGTCCCATTTGAGTCCGCCGTGGGTACCCACTGTGCTGGGCCCCCAAGCAGGCTTCGAAAGTGGCGACAGTTTCACAGATCGCAGCCCCCGAGGGATGGCGAGGTCACATTTGAATCCGCCGCGGGTGCAGACTGCGCGGGGCCTCAGCAGGCCTCGAAAGTGGCGACTGTTTCACAGATCGCAGCCCCCCAGCTGGCACGCAGCGACGAGCGCGGCGAAAGGCAGGGGGGAAGAGAGGGACGGGAGGGGGTGGGAAGGAGACGCGCGAGCAGTGCTCTATTCAAAACGAGAACCCAACGCAGGAGGGTTGGGAAAAAGAGCCAAAACCAAAAGCGATAGGATTCGGCACGCCAGGCACCCCTGCGATGAATCGACAGGGGGCGGCGGACAATGGCTTTCGGCCCATCCCGCCACCGTGCCCCGGTTGTGGGTCACATGCCTCTAGCATGCTTCGGGACGTCGCGTTGGGCTTCTCGGGTGCCTCTTGGCCGTTTGCTCTTGGGGACCGTTTTGGGGCCTCTTGGGGCGTATTGGGAACATCTTGGTGGCCTCCTCGAGCCCCTTGGGGCTCACTCTCACCCAGGGTCGCTCTTGCGTATAGTTGACAAGGGAGGACGAGGGAGCCGAGTCGGTCGGGCCTTCGAGAGGGCACGCACGGGTGTCGCGACAGAGAGGGGTCGGGCGTTTGCCGCCATGCCCTGGTCTCCGCGCGCCAGCGCGGCTTGGCCCCGGCTGCGGCGCCAGCAGGGGATCGTCGTCGTCACCAATGCTCGAAGCTTACAGTGGAAACCCATGCCAAGAGACACCCTGTTTGCCTCCAGGGTGCCCAGGGTTTCTTGGGGTTCGGTGGTTTTGCTATGGGATGCGTGACGTTCCCATACCAAAAGTCAATAACGTCCTGAGGTCTCGGGAGGGTGGGTTTGTTGTGGGAGGTTTCTGGTGGTCGAGCTCCTACTGTATGATGTTCCAACCTACCTTAGCCGTGACCACCATGAATAATTTCGAGCGCCAAGAAAGTACGGAAACTGGAGGGTTTTCATGTGTCGGGCTCTGGGAGGCGATATTCGTTCGACATTTCGCTAGCTTGTCGGGTAGACATTCGCTCGATACTTTCTGGGGGGGCACTCGAGAGTAATTCTGGGATGTAGTCCGTAAGTACGATGGGAACAATCAACGCGCATAGCAAGGATCAGGGACTTTCCAAGGTTCCCCTTGCATCGTCCCCTTTCGGCCCTTTTTTGGTCGCTTCCGCTGGCTGCGCCTCGCTCGCAAAGTGTCGGCATGGCCTTCCGAGACCCTCGCATCCTTGTCGTGCGTCCTTGTTATATAGGGGCGGACTGCACGCCAATCCGCCGACCCCCAGCAGCGGAGATGTGCGGCCCCCGTTGCTGTGTGCGTTGACCTCTGGCAGCACGGTGGGGATCATCACGACCCCGCCATTCCGTCCTGGGACGTGCAGTGTTACGAGCTGCGCGGCTGTGAGCCGCTCGGCTATGGGAGCCGCTGCCCCCCTCCTTTCCCTTGGCATCGCTCGGGCGTGTGTACTTTCTCTCGGGGAGAACCATCGAGGAGCACTTGGGGCCATCTCGGGAAACAGTACACGCACAAGTCCGAAGCGTGCACGGGGAATGGGCGTCCGAGCGATGGCGGGCTCCTCCCCGTCATCCGACCATCGCGCCCGTAGCCCGAATCTTGTCTTCCAGGGCCGAGCAGCGCGCGCTCGCGTTCCGGGGGGCTGCTCCGGCGCCTGCTCGGCGGGATGGGCAGAGGATGACCGGGCCTCTGATTCCCTACGGCCGGTTTCCCCAGACGCGTTCCGACCGGCGTTTCCCCCCTCAGAGGGTGGGACGTTCGCTGGAAAAAAGTGTGTGCGTTGTCTGCCGCGTCCCCTCGTGCTGCCTGCGAGTAGTTAGGCCACCTCAGAGGGCATCTTGAGCATCCTGGAGGCCGCGGTGGGTGGATTAGGCGGCTCCGAGGTCCAGGGAGGTGCTTGGACCCCAGGGGAGGGGGAAAGGGGGAGGGAGACGACCAAATGTCTCATTCGCCTTTTCACCCCCGACAAGCGGGGGTCGGCAGATTATCGTCACCGTCTCCAGTCTCCAGTATCATTCTGTCGCAGGTTGCGTCCGTTCACGGCCTTCCTCGGGGTGTTCTCTCAGCACCCATGTTCATTATGACCATCTCAACGAAAACGTGACGGTCATGGCCATTCTCGTCATTTGGCGGTGAGTCCGGGGGGGGAACTGAGGGGGCAGGCGGCGGGGCTTCAGAAGCCCTCAGGGCTTCTCCTGCCTTCTGAGAAGTGTCTATGTTTTCGTAGAAGGCTTAGAACACTTCTCGGAAGGCCAGAGGGTTTCTCGGAGACGCCGCCGACTTCTGAGACCCCCTTCTGACTTCCGACCCGAGCTCGCCCCAAAGGCATGCTCATCTGCACCGTCATCATCGTCATCATTTTGAACCATATGTATCGATGTTGGCCCGATCTGGAGATTTATGACACGCTCTGTGCATATGTTTGCGCGCAGGCGTGCCATGATGGAGTAGACATCCTCCCAGGTAGTGCAGTGACAACTTTCATGACCACAATTGGCGGGCCATTCAAGGTTGTGCAAGTGAAAGGAAGAGGTGGGATATCGAAGTTCACTGTACCTGAGCCGTGGGACACGATCGGCCTTCTTGGTTCTGGCGCGTATGCGACGGTGGCGGCGTTCCGGATTGGCCAGCACGATCGTTACGCGGTGAAAAAAATCGAGAGGGTGTTCGACCACCCAGTATTGGCGCTCAGGACTCTTCGCGAGGTGAAATTGCTCCAGCACTTCCAGCACCCCAACATCCTGAATCTCCGCCAGTTCTACGTTGATGGTCCAGACTTCAAGGACACATACCTGTGTTTGGAGATGATGGACAGCGACTTGCACAGTCTCATCTCGATGATCCTCAGGACATCTGCTAGCACAGCGTGTGTCACCCCAGTAGCATGTAGCCTGTGTCGAAGGGCGTCAGTTCCGAGGTGGGGATTTATCATCATCCACCGCCTGCCGAGCTCCCCGAAGACCGATCCCCCAGGCGGCGGTTGTAGATATATTCCCGCCTCGCATGGGTGGACAAGCGCACATTGGCGTTGGCCCACGCTCTGAGGATCATCGACCATCCACGCGAGTAGCGCCTTGGACAATTTCCAGATCCAGTCCATCATGTACCAAATATTCCGGGGCATGCTCTGCTTGCGGACGTCCCTCGTTGTCCACAGGGACATGAAGCCTGGCAACGTGCTCGTCAAGGCCAATGGCGACGTCAAGATAGCCGATTTGGGTCTGGCGCGCACCATCGACGCCGACGATGACGACCACGACGAGGCAGTTCTCACCGAGTACGTGGTGACCCGGTACTACCGCGCCCCAGAGGTGGTGCTCACGGCAACCCACTACACCTACGCCGTCGACATGTGGTCTACTGGTTGCATCCTCGGGGAGATGCTCACGACCAAGCCCGTGTTTGCGGGTAAGGATTCGTTGGACCAGATCAAGAAGATCGTGGGCGTGATCGGAAGCCAGTCTGTTGACGAGATGAACTGGATCCCGAAGTCGAGCCCCTCCTGGAAGTTCGTCGAGAAGTGCAACAAGGTTTCCACCGGCGAGGCCTTCCAGAAGCTCCTGCAGACCCCCGGCCTGGACCCGAACGCCGTGGACCTGCTCGTGCAGACCCTGCGATTCAACCCGTCCAAGCGGATACCCATCGAGGATGCCCTGGGGCACCCTTACCTCGAGGCCTTCCAGGCGGACTCCGACCCAGAGGTCCGGTCCGCGAAGGAGGTCGTCCCGATGGACTGGCTCTTCGACAAGGAACTCTGTTTCGACGAGCATCGGGGAAGAACTCATGACATAATCATGAACCTTCGGACGTCTGCGCGGATTTCTCGGATCGGCGCTGGAGCCCCCTGGCGGCGCGCCAGGGAGGGGGGCCCAGCGCCGATCCGAGGAATCCGCGCGGGCCTCCGAAAGCGTATGCCTACGTCGCTGCCTGTTCCTCGGCGAGCAGGGCAGGCCGAAGCCCTACGACCCGAAACTCTTCCGGCAGGCGCTGCTGGACTGCTGCGGGGCGGCCGGCGGCCGCAGCAGGAGCCCGCCGTCGGCGGGGCGCAGCCCGCGCTCCTCCGGGCGCAGCCCGCGGCGGCGCTGGGAGAGGGGCACGGCGTAGGGGGGGCGGGCGGCCCGCCCTGCGCGCGCGCGCGAGCGGCAATCGGGGGCTGCTGAAGTCGGGGGCGGCCGTGAGAGGGGGGTGATGACCAGGGGGGGTGGGGGGATGTCGTGGCCGGGGCCACATAGTTCCCCAGACTTCGTGGCACCTCTTCTTCTCTCAAGACGTCCCCTGGCCCCCCCCGTGGGCCGCGCACGTGCCTCGGGCCATGATTTGCGAACCCTCCATCTTCGGACGCTCCCGATGAAGAGTGCTCCTGGCCCAAGGCAAGGATCGAGCTACAGGCGGTGTCTTGGCGAGTTCATGGGCCGTTCTGGTGTGTGGTTCGTTTTGCGGGCAAGGGCGGGACGAAGACGGAGCGAGGGAAATTCCTCAACCAGAACGAAAACGAACACTCACACTTTCTAGCTGGAGCCCAGGCTCAAGGTGTCTCCCAGCTTTCTTCGCTCCACTTTGGAGCCCCGTGGGGACCCTGGGCCTCGCGATGGGGTGCTCTGGAGGCTCGTGGGGGCCGCCCTGGGAATCCCGGGAGCACCCTGGGCTTCTGATGTACCAACCCACTTTAGCCTTGATCACCAGACGTGGACCAGCAGAGCACGGAAACTGGAGTGCCCTCACGTGTCGGGCACTGGGAGGCGCTGTTCCTTCGACGTCTCGCTAGCATGCCGGCAGCAGACACTGCTTCGATGCTCCTCGGGGTGCTCGAGACCACTTGAGAGCAACAGCACCCTGGGCCGAGGGCACTTCTGGCGACCCCCGGGGCGAGCACGCCGCCCGCGCGCCGAGCGCCGACGCCGCACGGCCTCACCAGCGCGCGGCGGCGCGCGTGGCAGGCTGCGGCCGCCTGCTCCTGCGGGCGGAGAGCTGCGCCCCGCGCCCCGCGGCGCGGAGCCCGCGCGAGGGACCGTGCGGTGGGATCGGTGGCGGACGAGGAGGGGGGGAGGCGAGAAGGAGAGAAGGCCTTCTCGGGAGACTCGGAGGTCCCCCGGCCCTCTGAGAGGTTTCTGGAGCCGTCCCCGAAGACGCAGAAAGCTTCTCAGGAGGCCGATGGGGCTTCTGAGAAGTCCCGCCGCCTTCTGAGAAGGCCTTCTCCTTCTCATATCCCCCGCTCGCCCGCCGCCGACGTGCGAGATCGGCGCGCGCAAAGGCTTTTGACACCGCGTTGATCGTTCAACCTCGGCTTCGATCGCGGCCTCGATCGTGCAAGGTCCAATTCCGTCGGGTCCAGTGGCGTTTCCGTGTCCCTTTAGTGCTTCTGAGTCGACCAGAGGGAAGGAGGCACAATCGTGGGACGGGCAGTGGCAGAAACGCAAAAATGTTGGGCGGTCCGCGCGGATTTCTTGGATCAGCGCTGGGGCCCCTGGCCGGCGCCTCCAGCGCCAGAAATGTTGGGAGTTCCGCGCGGATCTTTTGGATCGGCGTTGGGCCCACCTGGCTGCGTTTGGCGCCACTCCTGCACCCTCCAAGAAGTCAGCGCGGAGATCCGAAATATCATCGGAGGTTGGGGGGGTGAGTCCGACGTGGAACGGAGACCCCCCCTACCGGATAATCGATCTCGGGCTCGTGTCGTGCGTGCCGTGCGTGCGTGCGGGCGAGGCGAAGCTGCGTGGGCGGGCGAGAGGAAATCCTCCTGTGGCTGGGCCGCGGCCTGACCAGATGTAACTCCTCTGGCGGCTGGTGCCCCGCGGTGTCCCGCCGGTGTCCCGCGGGTGTCGTGTGGTGGCCCGTGGTGTCCCGTTGAGTGAGATCGATCGTGAGATCGATACTGAGATCGATTTGGTGCCCCGAGGTGTCCCGTGGTGTCCCCTGGTGCGGCCGCTGTCGAATTTGGGCACAATTTGTTGTTGGGCATTGTGCTGATTTGTCTGTGTCAAGTCTGATTGCGCCAATGGGGGGGGGGACGTATCGACCTCCGAACACCCGCTCGTGGCCGATAGCGGCCTGGCAGCCCACACATACACCGCCCAGCAGCGCGCGGTTTCGCCATCGGGGGCCCAGCGCCGATCTCTCGGCGGCGCATCGCCGATTCCAAGTCAATGTTGCCCCCCCCCTCCCCCCCTCGAACCAATCCCTCCCTGTCGTTCCCCCCTAGGGAGGAGGGCGGGGCAGGGGGGGAGGGGGGCAGGGAGTGCTGCCAAGCGCACGACGCATTCCAGTTGCGCCGCTGCGCGGATCCGCCGCCGCGCCCGGGGAGGCGCCAGGAGGGAAGGAGGATGACGACGACGACCACAACGCCACGGACGACGACAACGACGACGACGATGTCGACGGCGACAACGACGAGGCCGCGGGGGAGGGCGCAATTGAGCCGTGGCGCATGCGTCGCCGAGATCGCTCGTCGTGGGGCTGAGCTTCAGGGCGGTCTTGCAAACTTCTCGGGGCGATCTGGGCTCTCGCGGAGCGCTCTGAGGGGCATTCGCGGACATTCGCGTGTAACCCGCGTAACATGGCGTTTCTGCGCCCTCGTTTCCAGTGTAGAGTCCCCGCGCTGACTGCCCGCGTCAGCCACCGCGTAAGGTTGGCATGCCATCATGCGTAAGACTTTTTTCCGTCGCCCAATTGGGGCCAAGCCAGGTGTTCATGGGGGACATGTCAAGCTGAGACGTGGCAAAGGCAGGCACAAACATCCAACGGCTTGCATGGCTCGCTGCTCGTTGGGGGTTCGGTTCGCGGAGTTGTTGTGGGGGTCTTGGGGGTCTTTCTTTGATGCTTTTCATAAGGTTGGATGGACACGATCCCGACAGTTCGCGCATCCCCACAATCTCATCCAGAATGGATCCCCAGGCGAATTGCATGGATGATCATGGAAGGGAGTGAGCACGCAGTGCAGTGCAACACAAAAGGGGGGTGAGGGGGGGGGACAGCCTGGACACCGAAGCTTCCGTTGAGCCTAAGCAGGCCCAGGAGTCAGCCATGAGGCCGTCCAGGAATCTGCGGTTTGGGAGCCTCTTGGACGCTTCTTGGGGCCATCTTGAAGCAATGATGAAGGCTTTCGAGGATCTCTTCGGGCCCAATGGCCGGATTCGAAGATATCGATCAAAAGGGGAGGGGAGGGAATTTAATCCCGTTGGAGCCAGACACATCGTTCCATGTTGCCTTGTTAGGATGCTCTTGGGTTGGGGATCGGATACGTTCGTTGGTCTTAGGACGCCCTTGAATCCTAGGACGCTCTTGAGTGTTGATCTTGGCCGCTGTGCCCCTCTTTGGGCTTTCAATATGTTTCTGTTAACTTTAGAGGCATCGTTATTGATGCTATTCTTGATGCCTCAGAAGGCCGTCGGAAGCGAGAAGGCGACAAGGGCAGCACCATTCCAAACATCGTTTCTGGATTTTCAGGAAAGGACCGCTCGGGGGCATCCTTCCTTGGGAGGTTTCGATGCCACTTGGTACCTTTCGGAAGCATGTTGGAAGCATGTCGGAGGCCATCCTTGGCCACTGGGGCTAGGTTCGCCAATGTTGAGGCCATCTTGGAGAAATCTGAGGCCCAGAAGCGCTTTGTTGCGTTTACCCTTCTGCCCCCTTCCCACGCGCCCACATCAAATAGGATTTGGAACTCCCAGGAAGGGGGAAGAGGGAAAGTGGGGCAGCTAATTGAGTTCGCTGCACGCCATATCTGACATCCTGTCCCTCCCACCCATCCCTTCCCATCGGTTGGAGTGTCCTCGCAGTGACCCGCAGTGACCCCGTCGTGTCATGCACAATCAGAAAGCGGGGCTATGTACATTGGATTGGAGGACGAGGAGGCGGCGGATGAGCCCGAGGATGAGCCATGGGACAGCGGAGGGGGGAGAGAGGAGAGGGACGGCAACCAGAAGGATCGAATCGGATCCAGCAGTTCAAGCGGAACAGGCGGAACAAAAGGGGCTCCACACGCCCACATGTTTTTACCATCTAGGGGAGCCCAGCGGCGAGAACGGGTGACAAACAGGCGCGGAAAGGCCGGAAGACGAGGAGGAGGAGGAGGAGGAGGGGTAGGAGGAGGGACGAGGAAGACAAAAAACGCGCCCGGTGCGCACACCACCCGTTGCATGCGCGGTGGCGGATTCTACGAGGCCAGCGGCAACTGCGTAGTTCACTTAGCCCTGCGCCCCACAGGCTGCTCTGAAGAAGAAAGCCGTGGCCCAGCGGTGCGGCACGGGGTGAGTCGGGCGGCTTCGGAGCCGCAGCCTCGGTCGCCGACACCATCGGTTGTTTTCAGTTACCGTTCCTGCACCGCCGTTGCCGCAGCTTCGTGGAGAAAGGCAGTTGAATACCGTACCGTTCGCTTGTGCGCGCTCGTTTGCGCGCGATCTTGTTGTGCTTGCTAATTGCCCTCCTTGCTGGCGCGTGCTCGTTCGACTGTTTGCTTTCCTTCTTGCTGACTGTTGTTCGCTGCTTCGTCTGCTCGCGCTGGCTCGTATGGCACTTGTTCTGCTGGGCTTATGTTACGTGCTGCCTGTATTCTTGATGGTTCACGCCTTCTCGCGTTTGATCGCGCTTGCCTGCGTGTGCTTGACTCGTTGCTTGGGCAGTGCCTCCCTGGACGATGCTGATCGTGGGAATCCCTTGGGGGGCCATGGTCCCAGACCTCGGACGCCGCATTTGTTATTGCAGCGTGGGGCCCATAGCGACCCCTTTACCCTGGACGCATGTGTTGCGGCGTGGGTGCTCGTTCGAGGGCATGTGGGCCTGGAAACGGCTTTCGCATCATCAAGTGATGGCAGTTACACCCTTGGCCGCAGAAGACCCTAAGCATATCCGTAAGGGCTTCGCCCCCTGCCGCCGGCCCCCTCGCTCGGAGAATGGGCCATGGAAGAGCTAAGTCATGAGGCCTTGGCGCTGTCGTGAAGCAGTATCGAAACTTCATGCGAAGCCGAGTCGCAATCAGCAAAACCAACTGATCGGGGTTACCACACCTGGCGATTGGTAAGACGTGTATGGTTTAAGGGCTTGGTTACCACACCTTGCGATGAAAGGGCCGAGGGAGTTCTCGCAGTTTGGGTTACCACGCCTTGCGATGGATGTGCGTGATGGGTTCGAATTTCAGAAATGTGGCAAATCCCCTGTGTTTTTGGACCCTGACCCCGCGGATCTGCGTGAGGGGTGGCACCGAATTTCAGAAATGTGGCAAATCCCCTGTGTTTTTGGACCCTGACCCCGCGGATCTGCGTGAGGGGTGGCACCGAATTTCAGAAATGTGGCAAATCCCATGTGTTTTTGGACCCTGACCCCGCGGATCTGCGTGAGGGGTGGCACCGAATTTCAGAAATGTGGCAAATCCCTTGTGTTTTTTGGACCCTGACCCCGCGGATCTGCGTGAGGGGTGGCACCGAATTTCAGAAATGTGGCAAATCCCTTGTGTTTTTGGACCCTGACCCCGCGGATCTGCGTGAGGGGTGGCACCGAATTTCAGAAATGTGGCAAATCCTATGTGTTTTTGGACCCTGACCCCGCGGATCTGCGTGAGGGGTGGCACCGAATTTCAGAAATGTGGCAAATCCCGTGTGTTTTTGGACCCTGACCCCGCGGATCTGCGTGAGGGGTGGCACCGAATTGCAGAAATGTGGCAAATCCCTTGTGTTTTTGGACCCTGACCCCGCGGATCTGCGTGAGGGGTGGCACCGAATTTCAGAAATGTGGCAAATCCCTTGTGTTTTTGGACCCTGACCCCGCGGATCTGCGTGAGGGGTGTCGATTTCGAGCCCCCCCAGCAATTCAGACAACGCGCCCAGGTGAAGCTAAAAATCCTGTTTGGGCCTCCCCCCCCCTCGCGCGGTCAATCAACTAGTTACAGCAACCAGCAAGAAGTCAACTAGTTACAGTAACCAGCAAGAAGCAGAACTGTAACACTGGAAACTACAACCTACGACTGGTACAGGAAACTGCGAATCACGCGCCTACAGCCTGGTGGCCCCACAAGGGGGCCGGCGGATCTTCAGTGCACGAATGAGGGCGCTAAAGACAAGTAGTATGTTGTTTCATGTGTTACCTTAGTAAGCAGCAGTGATTCTTTTATGAGATATACTCTCACCCGTGATCCGTTTCGGCATGATCCCGCCTGGGCCACCTCCCCACGTGCTTCCTCGGCGCCCCCTCAACCAGGACACTGCTAATCAGGACCCTGAACGCTACTTCTGGAGAGAACGTATGATGGAAACCTCTTCGACCCACGGCTGCAGTTTTCTCGGGCGCACCAGTGTCCGGCTGTCAAGCCACCGTGTATCCAGGCCTCCCCAGATGGGGTCGCACTTGATGGGGTCGGAGGATCGCGCCACATTGCCGATGCATCGGCGATGCAGCTCGATGCGTGCCCCGATGTTCGCCACGCCGACGGCGGCGATGCATCGCCGACGTCGCCGACGCATCGCCGCTGCATCGTCGATGCGTCGGCGATGCATCGGCGATGCAGCGCGTTCCCCCGACCCCATCCACTCGGACCCGGACCCCATTTGGGATGCCTCCAGCGTAGGGGCTACGGACAGCTTGTACAAGGAGAGAGCGCCCGCCCTGATGTGTTGCAGCGGTGCGGACTCGCCCAGGCGGCGCTACGTTCACATCGCCGACTCGCACCTGGCCTTCTTCCGCGTCGAGCCCCTGGAGGGCGACCGGCCCCTGGGCCGGATCGAGTACTCGCAGGCCTCCGGGTGGGCTTCGGGGGGTGAGGGGACGAGGCACGAGGATCGGCCACGCGCAGAAGGGGGTGAGGGCGAAAGGGGATGGCTTCCTGGAAGCACCCCTGCTTCTTAGAAGGCGCGGCCTTGCCTATAGAAGCAAGGCTGCTTCTAAGGAGCCCTCCCCCTGACCTCCTTCTGCGCCCTTCTGGGGAGCCCTTTTGAGGAGTCATCCCTGCTTCTAAGGAGCCCCTCCAAAGAGCCCTTTCTAAGGAGTCATCCCTGCTTCTAAGGAGTCCTTCTAAGGATTCTTCGAAGGAGCCCTTGAAGGAACCCGGCGCCTTCTAAGAAGCAGGTTGATTTTTACCCATGAGTTGACATCCCATGCTCTTGCAAACATCCCACCCACCCACCCGCAACTTGGTTTGCAAAACCTCCTAAGACCGACTGCGACGACACCTACGACAACGACTACGACGACACCGACGACGTCTCCGACGACTTCGACGACGACGACGACGACGACGACGACGACGACGACGACGCCGACGACACCGACGACGACGACGCCGACGCCGACGCCGACGACGACGACGACTATGACGACGCCGACGACGACGACGACAACGACGACACCGACGACGACGACGACGTCAACGACGCCGACGACGACGCCGACGACGACGACGACGACAGCGACGACGGCGGCGAAATATGAGGGACGACGACGAGACGCCGACGACGGACGATGACGACGACGAGGGAGGAGGAGGAAGGAGGACCACGGCGACAGCGACGACGGAAACGACCACGACTCCAAAGAGGACGACGACGACGAACACGAGGAAAGACAGAGGACGTCGTAGGCGACGACGACGACGACGACGCGGGAGGAGGGAGGACGGCGACGACGAAGACGACGATGACGCAAGAGGGCGCGCGCACGCTTTTGTTGAAAATCCGTGTTGCGAAACCTTGTGTTTTTGTAGGTTTTTTGGACACACGATGTTGAAATCCTCCCGAAGCCGATGGGTTTTGAAGGATTTCGGCATACGCGCGCGACGACGCGCGCGTCTGCACGTCGTCAAGTTTTTTGCAGAGGATTCTCGCGACGGCACACGCGCAAGGGCGTTTGACAGATTTCGACATGCGCGCGCGCGAAGCACGTTTGGTAGCATGTTGTGAAAATCTTGAAAAACCTATGGTTTTCTTAAAATTTCGCAAGAGCTCGCGTGCAAGCTTTTGCCGCAAATCAGTGTTGCGAAAAACCATTTGTTTTTGGTAGGTTTTTGGGAAATTCGATTGCGAAATCCTTCCGGCACCAAAGGTTTTTGAAGGATTTCGGCATGCGCGCGCGACGACGCGCGCGTGTGCACTTCGTCATTTTTTTGTGCAAGGGATTCGTGAAAGAAGCCTTATGTTCGAGCAAAAGATGTCCCCTCGTATCGTTTTTTACAAGGGAACATCAGGGGGCGATACCGGCTCCCCTGGGGTAGTGCAAATTCATATCTAGGATGGACATGTGGTCATAATCGTATATGATTTAAATACCCAAAAGGGGGACCGATAACGCCGGGGGCGGGGGGGGGTAGAGTCTATTCCCTGTTTAGAAAGGAGAATATACTTCTAAGGGGCCTTCCCCCCTCCCCCTAACCCACTTTTGCGCGCCGCCAGAAGGCGGGGAGGGGACGAGGGACGAAGAGGAGGACCTTGGGCCTCCCGGTGTCGTGGGGGAAACGCGTCGAGCGGCTCTCTTCGCAATTCGGGCCTCTCGGGGCCAGGTTCCGTCACGCGCCCCTTGGCGCATGTTCCCATTGCCCCATTTTTCCTCCCTTCCTGCCCTTCCCAGATTCCCCATCCTCCCCTGGCCACGTTGTTGTCCATCATCCTTGGCGTAACGTATATGACCCCCCCCCCTCTGGCAACGGTAACTTCCGAAAGGCGTTTACAGGGATTCATTGGTGTTCACAGACATCGTTGTGTTGGCAGGGTCCAGCATGTTGGTGTGTGGTGCGCGCGCGTTCGCAGATTATTGTGATATTGCCAGGGCCCAGCACGCTACAGTGCACGGCGTTCTTCTCGCAGGCACCGCGTGATGTTGCAAGGGCCAGGAATTCCTGCGGTGCGACCAATCCGCAGACGACGCCGTTACCATCACACCGCCCCCCCCCCCCCCCCCAAGAGTAACCTGCGATACCCCTACCCGCACCCGCAAAAAAGCCTCCCCGGAAGTCCTCCTCCCACTTCCTCTGTTCTTCTTCAAATCCCCTCATTGCCTGCCATTCCCCTCCTCTCCTCTTCCTTCCCCCCGCTCCTCCCCTCCCGTCACCCTGGCACCTTCTTCTCCCCTCCCAATTCCTTCCCATCTTTTCTGCTTCGCCATCCTTCCCCTGCCATCGCCAGGCTTCACGCATGGTACCACAATGCACCCAGTCGTCATGGCAGCATCCTGCCCCTGCCACCAGGGGGCCTTGGCAGCTGATTCTCAAAAAGTAAGGGCGGCATCCTCTCCCCTGAAATTCGACATTCCAAAACAATCACAACGTCGCAATAAATCCCAGCTGGAGCCCTAGACCCAGTATTTACATTGTTTTTTCGAGCCACATCGATGTGTGACGGTCCTGGGGCCCGAGGCAAGGCGAAATTTACATCAATGTCCAATCGGGTCGATCCGATACCGATATCGATTCCGACTTGCCCGATCCGATTCGAGTCCCATGCTCCTGGCGAGCCGATGCGGCCCGATGCTTGCGTGCCGTTGCTGTGCATCCTTGCGCGGCCGATCCGATTCGATTCCGACTCCGAGCCGATGCGGCTTTGAGAGGCAACGCAAGGGGGGGACCGGCGCAAGGGGGAACATCGAGCTGGAATCGGCGATACGTCGCCGATAGATCGGCGACAGGCCCCCGATGGCACGTCCGCACGTTCCCGAGCGGGGTGCGCTATCGGTCCCCCATCGGCGACGAATTGGCGATCGGGGGTCGACGCGTCCCCCCCTGAGCAGATCCTCCTCTCGTTGTCCCTCATGCGCGATCCGATGCACATTCCAAACCTATTTGATCTACCGATTCGACTTTGACTCTGATCCTGCCGAATCCCGCGGCTTCTCTTGGGTGCCCGTAGGCACGGGAGCAGGGAGAGCTCGAGATCGAGCTGCTCAACAGCGGCTTCCTGGTGGCCTGGCTGCGGGCGGAGACCGCGGGTGACAGGCCCACCACCAGAATGTGTACATATCTACCGCTTCAGAGTTGCGCTCTGGAATCTCGAGGAGAGGTGGATATGGACTGTTGTCCGCCCGCATTGGCGGGCAGATATTCTTATCCATCGCTCCCCGGGCTCCTGGAGGACGCCCCCGCGGCAGTGGTTATGGACATATTCTGTCGGCGCAGCAGGGGCCACGTCCTGTCCAGGCTGCGGTCGCAGTCGCGCGGCGCTCTGCTGATGGCCGAGCTGGACAGCGCCGTCCGGCGCGCCTCCGTGCTCGTCTACGGCGAGTCGGAGGCGAGCGGCAGCGAGGTCGCTGTGCTGCTGGGGTCCTCGAGGGACACACATCTCGGGAGCGGCAAAGGCTACCAAGCCCGGGGCCCCGATGGGTGCGGGAACCATGGGTACGAAGCCCAACAGCAGTTCGTGTTCATTCTGAACAGGATTCGCTTTCGGCGTCGCCGCAGCCGTTGTTCATTCGAGGCACAGGCTCGCCTGCCCAACAGCGGCCGCTGTCGGTGTTGGGCAACCATTGTAGTTGGGTATCGTGCCCATTTTTCCGTACCCATTCCAGGCGTCCAAATCAAAGGCACGCGCGCCGTTTTTCAAGATGTTCGTGTTATTCAGTCGCATTTGGCTCGAAAAGCTCAAAGTTTTCACCGGTGACGCGCTGATGGGGTCGCGTGGCATACATTGACACTTATCTTGTACTCCGGACAGCGGCGTAAACATGGAGTTTACGACGTCTGCGCGGATTTCTCAGATCGGCGCTGCGACCCCTTGGCGGCGCTTGGCGCGTTCCGCCCGCGCGCCAGGGACGGTGGGGCCGAGTGCTCGGTCAAGAGATCCGCGCGTTTAATGTTTGTGCCAGTGTTTGGACCAGGGGCAACGTTGGGAGGATGTTTCAGGGGGGATGCATCGACCCCGAATCGCCCGTTGATCGCCCATGGGGGCCTGATAGCCCCCCCTGTCCACGACCGTGCGATTTCACAATCGTGGCTTGTCGCCGATTCGAGGCTGATGTTTCCCCCCCTAAGTTGACATCCCCCTTATACAGGCGGAGGCCTCTCTCGGCGGAGGGCCAATGGAGACAACGGCGGCTCTCCCGCCTGGTCCAAATCCGCTCAATATTTGTCCTCAGACCTGGACCCCTTCTGTGGTCCATCCTGCTTTGTTTTTCGACTCGGATCCAGGCGACGAGAAGCCCACAGGAGGCCCAGGAAGAGCGAAAAGCACAAGGGAGGGCTGCGTTGTCTCGGCTGGCCCCTGCTCGTATTTTGGGGGCCATAGCTCGGGCCTCCGGCGACCGTTCGGGGCGATGCGGGCACCCCCCCGGAACGCTCTCGGCGAGGCGCAGGTGCTGGAAGGCATCCCGAGGCTGGACAGCCGCCGAGACGCCCGGAAAGCTCGAACCTCGAACCTACGTCTGACCCCCCAAAGGTCCAGCGGCCAGGCGGGGGTGGCCGCGGAGGGCATAGCCTACCGGTACGGCGACCTCGGGGCCGCTTTGCTGCACCCAGAGCACGCGTCGCCGCACCTGGGCGCCATGAGGGTCTTCTGCGAGTTGTTTTTGGGCCTGTCCAGGCACTTAGATCATGCTATCTACGCTGGGATGTTTTCCTAGTTTTAGGATCCACGTTCTTTTTCATGTTTGGGGTGAGGTTTCCTTGGGGAGTCTCGTTCGCGCCGTTTTCGGTTCGAGTCCGTGGTGTACTGCCGCTCTTGTTTACGTGTTGGGTTGCCTCTTTTCTGTTTCTTCCGTCTTCGTTGGCCGAAAGCCGACAAGCTTCATGGACATATTTTCCACCATCACTACCAGAGGTAGGAGAGGGAGGATGGGGAGGAGGATGAGGGGGAGAAGGATGAGGAGAAGAAGGAGGAGGAGAAGGAGGAGAAGGAGGACTTCCCCATCCTCCCTTCTCTCCTGTCCTACCTATGGCAGCGGTGGTGGAAAATTGGCCCATCTAAAATGAAAACGGGAAAACCTACCCCCAGCGTGTTTGACATCAACTCAGCCCCAGGCAGGAGGCCACCGAGGCGGCGCCGGGCCTGTGGAGCCTGGCCGAGGACCAGGTCTCTACCGGCGGCTAGAGGATGTGGTTGCTTGGGCGTCGGGCAATGCAGGGGCGATAAGTGGGGAGGCAGCGAGCAAGGGCTGCAGAGAAGGAGCCCTCTAGGGCCCATGAACGGGCCCGTCAGGGCCCAAAAGGGTACCTTCGGGGCCGGACAAGTGCACCTTCTCTCTCCCCCCCAATTTGAACGACGCCAGAAAACGGGGGCGTCTTCGCCGACATTGGCGTGTAAGCTGCCCGCGTAGGGTCGCGCGTAAGCGTCCTCCTCTCCAGTCTAGCGTGCCGCGCTGGCGGCCCGAGAAAGCTTTCGGCGTAAGGTCGCCGAGCCATCTCGCGTAAGACCCGTTTTTGATCGTCGCTCATTCATCCCCCCCCCAAGGCGATGCCCAGCGTTGTGCCAGGGTGCGATTTGCTACCCGCGCCGCTGGGGCTCGGGGGGCACACCACGCTGCCCTCGTCGGGGGGCGCGGCCGCTGCCCTCGGTCGGGCGCGGCGGAGAACTCTGCCGAGGTCCTCGCCCGCCCCCCCTCGGCGGCGAGCGAGGGGGGGAAGTGGGAAGGGGCGGGCCTTCTCAGCAGGCTCGGAAGTCCACAAGCCTTCTGAGAAGCTAAGTTTTCCCCGAAGACACAGCAAATGTTTCACAAGTCGCGCAAGACTTCTGAGAAGCCCCGCCGCCTTCTGAGAAGGCCTTCTCCTTCTCACTTCCCCCCCTCGCTCGCCGCCAACGCCGCCCCAGGCGCGGGTTGCAAACCACACCTCTTGCAAACCAAGCCACGCCCTTCGGAGTCACCGAATCGAGGAAAAAACAGCGGCACAATAGTAAGTTTTCGGAGTTCCGCGCAGATTTCTTGGACCTGCGCTGGGCCCCCCTGGCGGCGCCTCTGGCGCCGCCCTTGGCGCGCTTCGTGCGCCAGGGAGAAGGGCTCCAGCGCAGATCCCAGATCCAGGAAGCCCGCGCGGAACTCCGGGAGGTGATATTCGTGCCGTCTTTTGTCCCTCCAAGGTCAGGGTCGAGCACAAGCCGCCGCGCCCAGAGTGGCCCTCAGGGGCGACCAAAGGGGGGGGGGAGATGCTCAGGGGCGGATACATCGACCCCCTTCGCCCATCGATCGCCGACAGAGACCCGATAGCCCACCCCGCCCAAGAGCGCGCGGATTCGCTCGATGCTTCCCCCCTCGTTTTGCCGTTTTGCTGTTCCATGTGCAGCTGAACATTCACATTACGCCCCAAGCGTTTCTTCGGAGGCCGGGCGGCCACTTCGTCTACCTCGTGCCCGCGGCGGCCCTGGCGCCGCGCCTGGCGGCTAGCAGCAGCTCCACCGCGGCACCGGCCTCCTGCCTGGACGCGCTCTGCGCGCAGTTCCGCCCGAACGCGGCCCTGGACGCGGTAGCGCTGGTGCGCAGGGGAGGGGCACCCCGACATCCTCGCGTCGTCAGAGGGTCCAGGCCTCCCAGAAGACATTGTTGTTTGTCCCCTGGCGACAACGGGCGTAACCAGGGGGGGGCAGGGGGTGAGAGGGCCGGTCACGTCACGATTCGCGCTGGCGCCATTTGGGAATGCCCAGAGACGGCTAATTCCCCCACGGCGCGTGCGCGAATCGTGACGTGGCCAGAGGGGAGAGGGGGGGGCCCGGGCCAGTCACTGGCCATATCGCGAATGATAACAGATGATCGAAATGGGGTCCGAATAGATGGGGTCGAACGACCGCTCCACATCGCCGATGCATCGGCGATGCGGCTCGATACAGAGCCCGAGTTTCTCCACACCGATGGCGCCGATACATCGGCGAGGCGTTGGCGATGCGACGCGATCCTCCGACCCCATCTGCCCGGACCCATTCTAGCAGGCATGTACACGAAGAACAAGTAGCATACACATAAAGACAAACTTGCGGCGCTCCGCGCGGGTTTCGTGGATCGGCGCTGGAGCAACTTAGCGGCGCCTTGGCGCCTCCGCGCGCCAGGGAGGGGGGGTCCAGCTTCGATCCACCCACTTGCTGGGGATCTCCGAGACAGTCTGTTCATGCAGTTTTTCGCTCCGCTCATCCTCGCGTCGCACGAATTCACGATGCCAAAGCGTTTCTCTGATGTTTTCTGTCTCTGGTGACCCTTGCCCAGCCGCAACAGGGCAGTCAAATTAGCTTGACGAAGGACCCAACCATATGCAGGTGTGAGTACCGCAATCGTGATTCACTTTTTCGGTGGTAATCCCTATGAGGCAACGAGCCGTGCTACGGGTGTGCCGAAATGAGTGGCGTGGTACACAACGCGAACGAAAACGAACAACACAATGCGGACTGCGCCACGGGGACCTTCGGTGGGGCTCCATAGGGGGCCACGAAACGCTGTACTGGGTGAGGGAGATGCATGCGGACTGCACCACGGGGACCTTCGGTGGAGTTCCCTGTGGGGCCACGAAACGCGTGAAGGGTGTGCCGAAATGAATGGCGGGGACGCATGCAGACTGTGCCACTGGGACCTTCGGCGGAGCTCCTATGGGGCCACGAAACGTGTGAGGGGTGTGCCGAAATGAGTGGCGGGGACGCATGCGAACTGTGCCACTGGGACCTCCGGCGGAGCTCATATGGGGCCACGAAACGTGTGAGGGGTGTGCCGAAATGAGTGGCGGGGACGCATGCGAACTGTGCCACTGGGACCTTCGGCGGAGCTCCTATGGGGCCACGCAACGTGTGAGGGGTGTGCCGAAATGAGTGGCGGGGACTCATGCGAACCGTGCCACTGGGGCCTTTGGCGGAGCTCCTATGGGGCCACGAAGCGTGTGAGGGGTGTGCCGAAATGAGTGGCGGGGACGCATGCGAACTGTGCCACTGGGACCTTCGGCGGGGCTCCTATGGGGCCAAGAAACGTGTGAGGGGTGTGCCGAAATGATCGGCGGGGACGCATGCGAACTGTGCCAGTGGGACCTTCGGCGGAGCTCCTATGGGGCCACGAAACGTGTGAGGGGTGTGCCGAAATGAGTGGCGGGGACTCATGCGAACTGTGCCACTGGGACCTTCGGCGGGGCTCCTATGGGGCCACGAAACGTGTGAGGGTGCCGCGGGGACGCATGCGAACTGTGCCAGTGGGACCTTCGGCGGAGCTCCTATGGTGCCACGAAACGTGTGAGGGGTGTGCCGAAATGAGTGGCGGGGACGCGTGCAAACTGTGCCACTGGGACCTTCGGCGGAGCTCCCATGGGGTCACGAAACGTGTGAGGGGTGTGCCGAAATGAGTGGCGGGGACGCATGCGAACTGTGCCACCGGGACCTTCGGCGGGGCTCCTGTGGGGCACGAAACGTGTGAGGGGTGTGCCGCAATGGGCGGCGGGGAGGCATGCGAACTGTGCCACTGGGGCCTTCGGCGGAGCTCCTATGGGGTCACGAAACGTGTGAGGGGTGTGCCGAAAGGAGTGGCGGGGACGCATGCGAACTGTGCCATTGGGGCCTTCGGAGGAGCTCCTATGGGGCCACGAAACGTGTGAGGGGTGTGCCGAAATGAGTGGCGGGGACGCATGCGAACTGTGCCACCGGGACCTTCGGCGGAGCTCCTATGGGGCCACGAAACGTGTGAGAGGTGTGCCGAAATGAGTGGCGGGGACGCATGCGAACTGTGGGACCTTCGGCGGAGCTCCCATGGGGCCACGAAACGTGTGAGGGGTGTGCCGAAATGAGTGGCGGGGACGCATGCGAACTGTGCCACTGGGACCTTCGGCGGAGCTCCTATGGGGCCACGAAGCGTGTGAGGGGTGTGCCGAAATGAGTGGCGGGGACGCTTGCGAACTGTGCCATTGGGACCCTCGGCGGAGTTCCTATGGGGCCACGAAACGTGTGAGGAGTGTGCCGAAATGAGTGGCGGGGACGCATGCGAACTGTGCCACCGGGACCTTCGGCGGAGCTCCTATGGGGCCACGAAACGTGTGACGACGATGACGATGATGATGATGATGATGATGATGATGATGATGATGATGATGATGATGATGATGATGATGATGATGCTGATGCTGATGCTGATGCTGATGCTGATGCTGATGATGATGCTGATGCTGATGATGATGATGATGATGATGATGATGATGATGATGATGATGATGATGATGATGATGATGATGATGATGATGATGATGATGAGAGGAGGGGAGGAGGAAGGAGGAACGCGGGGACCGTCTTTTCAAAACGAGGACCCAACAACACAGGTTGGTTGTGAAAAACGGTTCGGGATGAACATCTGGGCCGGAGCCCAGACTTTTGAGAGACCACGTTGCGAAAGACATGACTGGGAGTATACCGATACTGCTGCCCATTCCTTGTCGTCACGGCTGGATTCGGGTCGGAGTCTTGGTCAGAACGCGCCCCAGGCGCGAGCAGTAGAGCAGCGGTGTATTGGTACGGCAGATTGGTGTCGTGATATCCGTTGTTGGTTTCTGGCAACGCGTGGATCGTTCAAGTTTGAATGATCGGCGGCTTTTCGTTCGCCAGAGCGTTCCGTTCTTGCCTGGCCGATTCTGGGCCACTGGCGGCGTTCGACACGGCGCGAGCTTGCCGTATGTCTGCTGTCTCCCACAGGTCGAGTGTTGCTAGAAGTGCCCTTGGCTCAAGATGCCCCCATGATTTCCAAGGAGGTCCCCCCAGCCTCCAGAACACCCCTCACGAGGCCCAGGGGGCCACATGGGGCTCCAAAGTGGAGCGAAAAGCTGGGAGCACCTTGGACCAGGAGCGCCTTTAGCACCCCTCGAACAGGTGCTGATGAGGGACCTCATCTGCAGCGCTCAGGAGTCGGGGTTCAGCGGGGAGCAGCTGCAGAGGCACGGTGTAGACTCTCGGGGGCCCGCGCGGGCCTCGGGCAGGCGCCGCGGGGGACCGTATGCATCTCGGAATCCTAAGGGTCAGCACCCGCTGAAGCATCGGCGGCTACATCCACCGAGGGAAGTTGATCCCGATCTTTGTGAGAATGGGAGCAATCGTTTAAAACATTATATATATATATATATGTATAGATAAAACGTGGGCTCAAAACCTTCGAGTTGGGCAGACTCATGAAATCTATCCGCCAGAGCTGATGTTTTCATCATGTGCCCCCCAGCAATTTGTCTGCAGTCGCCGTCGCCGTCGTGGTCGTCGTCGTCGCCATCGCAGCACCCCCCCACCGATAGGGCATCCACCGTGCGTTCGTCCTGGTCCTCGTCCTCATCCTCATCCTCGTCGTCGTCGTCGCCTACGGCGGGCCTGCGCAGCAACCCGCCCCATAGGTCATCGGCAGTTCGTCGTCGTCGTCCTCGACCTCGTCTCCATCCTCGTCCTCGTCGTCGTCGTCATCGTCGTCGTCGTCGTCGTCGTTGTCGTCGCCGCCGTCGTCGACTACAGCGGGCCTACGCAGCCCCGCCCATAGGGCATTCGCAGTGCGTCGTCGTCATCGTCGCCGTCGTTGTCCGTCATCGTCGTCGTCGTCCTCGTCCTAGTCCTTATCCTCGTCGTCGTCGTCGCCGCCGTCGTCGACTACTACAGCGGGCCTACACAGCACCACCACCCCCCCTAGGGCATCCGCAGTGCGGCGTCGCCGTGGCAGTCGTCGTCGTCCTCGTCTTCCGCGTCCTCGACCTGATCCTCGTCATTGTCGTCGTCGTCGTCGGTGTTGTCGTCGTCGTCGTCGTCGTCGTCGTCGTCGTCGTCGTCGTCGTCCTTCTGGTCGGCGCAATCGCCCTCGTGGAAGACCGTGGCGACTGGGAGGAAGAGGAGGAGGAGAAGGAGGAGGAGGAGGAGGACGAGGAGGAGGAGGAGGAGGAGGAGGAGGAGGACACGGAGCATGAGCATGAGCATGAGCATGATTAAAAGACGAAGTCTTACACTGAAGGCCACACACTGACCATCTCCAAGCAGATGAGGGATTGTCAGGAGACGTACACGGTCAAAGCCGTAGAGATTGACAACGTTCAGTTGGGGTGAAGTCGGCTCGATGCAGCCCACTATAATGAGGTGACAATTCATCACTGGTCATCGGGCAACCCCCTACAGGGATCGCCTCCTCGACAGGCAGCCCCATAATATCAATGCACAAGTCTGTACCCGCGTACGCACATGAATTTACCGATTGACCTTTTCCAAACCTCTGTTCAACCAAACGGGTAGACCATACACATACGGCCAGAGACAGCGACTGGACACGGCGGGATGGGGAGAGGGCCCCAGGAATTCCCAATGCATACCAAGAGCCACCACTCCAGCACAAAGTTTAAAATACGCCCAGGTAGCAGGCGGATGGGTCACTGCCAGCAGCTGTCCCAATCGACATTGCACATGGGGCGGATGTCTTCCACGACGTTCGTGACGGCACCACCCGCTCGCCTGAAATACGCCCAGACCGCAGGCGGGTGGATAAATGCCAGCAGTGCCAGCGGCTCCCCCCATCGACCCTGCACCTGGGGCGGATGTCCTGCACGACGGTCGTGACAGTAACACCCGCTCGCTTGAAATACGCCCAGACCGCAGGCGGGTGGATATATGCCAGCGGCTCCCCCATTGCCCCTGCAGCCTAGGACGGACCACGAAGTCGTTGCATAGGGAAGCTTGAAAACTCAGGTGCAAAGGTCAGCACGAATTCGACGTGGACGAAGTAAACCACAAAATCACACGTGGCCAGCATTGATGAGGAAGCAGCTGAGGACGAGGTGCCTGCATGAATTTCTCTCGGTCTTAGCCAACCCGTCGATAACAGCAAGACCCACATCAGTGAATGCTACAGGATCTCCAGGTTGCCACAAGCACGTCGCGATGAGACGCCGAGAGTTGCTGCATGACTGGTTGAAGCCAAAGCGAGGGGGTCGCCCCCTCGCGCGCCGCTTACAATCGGGAGGAGGAGGAGGAGGAGGAGGACGCGGAGGAGGAGGGGGAGGGGGAGGAGGAGGAAGGGGAGGAGGAGGAGGAGGAGGAGGAGGAGGAGGAGGAGAAGGAGGAGGAGGGGGAGGAGGAGGAGGAAGGGGAGGAGGAGGAGGAGGAGGAGGAGGAGGAGGTCAAACCATCTTATGCTTCAACCCGCCCTCACCCGGCCCCCCAGGCAGCCCGGGATTGTCCGCCATCCGTCGGCTTGTTCCCCTTTCCCTTATTGTGGGGGCAAAGAGACCAGCGAACATAGGTGCTGGATTGTCAGCCCCCCAAACATGGTTTTAAATCGTGTGTTCCCGTTAGTCAGGGGCAACGATTGGGGGGAATAGGCATAGGGGGGATGCATCGCCCTCCAATCGCCCAATGATCGCCTTTAGAGGTCTTGACAGCCTAACCCCGCCCAGGAAAGTGGGGATGTGCTATCGGGGGCCTATCGTCGATCTATCAGAGATGTATCTCCGATTCCAGGTCGATGTTTCTCTCTATGCCAGTCTCCCCCCATCATTGCCCCTCAGATCTTGGTAATGCTTCGGCTTCCTGGGTCACCGAACGATCACCACTAGTCAAAGCGCATAGCAAGGATGAGCAACTTTCCGAGGTTACCCTTGCATCCTTCCCTTTCGGCCAACCCGTGGCCATTTTCGCTGGGCAACCCCGTTGGGAAAACGTCATCATGGCCTTCCGAGGCCCTTGCATCCTTACCGCGAATCCTTATTATGCGTGTTGGCTGTTTCATCTTCCCCCAGTGGATTGGTGATCCATGTAGATTATACAAAGTCGGTTTGGCCATCTTGAACATATATGTGTTAGTTCTCGTGTGAAGCGCTACTAGAATCCTCTCTACCTCACTTTTTGTGTGAGCGCTTCTTTGTGAAGCGCTAATAATATGATCTCTCCCTTCTCCTGTTCCTTTCTCCCAGATCCTCTCTTTCCTCCTCCTTTTTCCATCCCATCCATCATGTCCATCACCATTCCGTATCCTCCCCCTCCCCCCTATCCACCCCCTCCCTCCTGGACGGGCGGTGGGCACAAACGAGCGTGAGTTCATGGGTGCGTTCGCTCTGGGCGCTGCTCATGTATCCGCTGGCCTGTCCCGTCACTTTTGTCTATTCTTGATCGGCTCGCCCATGTGGTGCATGTAACAACTTGTCCTGCCCTCCCTGGCATGTTAGGTACACCTGTCCCGTCAGGTCTGTTGTTGCGTCTGGTTGTAGTCTTTATTTTCCGCTTGGGGGGATACATCAGCGCGTTCCCGAGGGCTGTGACTGTTTGCCCAATGGACGTTTCGTTCCAATGCCAGTTGGAAGCGATACTGCCATTATGTTGGAGGCCCTCAGAAGAGCTGGGGGGGGATGCGAGCTGCTGTGTATGCACTCTCTAGCGCGCGGCCCACTTGGCGTGGGCCGTCGGTTTGCAAAGGCCCACCTTGCGATACCGCAACCACGTTGGGGCAGCGTGCTCTAGTTCACTTATGTTGTCAAATCCCTTGGGACCAGGGTGGCCCATCAAGTGAGGATCTCCCAGTGGAGGTAACCCCCTCTGCTGGTATTGGTGCCCGTTTCCGAGCTTCCAGCCATTCCCCCCCGCGCGCGGAGTGCGCCAGGGGAGCGGCGCAGGGGAGCGTTCCGCTGCCGACGGAGCGTTCCGCATCCGTTTCTTCTCCGTCGGAGTCCGCCAGGGGGCGGCTCCGACGGAGAAGAAAGAGTGCCGCTGTGACCACGAAGAGAGTACAGGGCCACAAGCAACGACGAGACACCGTCGGCACGTGGCGCGAAAGGGTCCGCGCCATGCACGCTGGTCGAGGAAGTCCGCGCCGCGATCTTCGAGACCTTACGGCTTATCCCCTATGTTCGGGTGCTGCCGAAGCCCAAGGTGTCTCCATGAGTTCTCGGGAGGCCCCCACGGCCTTCAGAGCACCCCTCACGAGGCCCGGAGGGGCTCCAAACTGGAGCGAAAAGCAGGGGACACCTTAGGCCAGGGACGCCCTCAGCAACCCCTGATATGTCGCTTTCGTCGAAGAGTAACTGGGGAAGCGTGAGACTCGAGTACGCCAGAACTCGGGTTCGCCGACGCTTTTTCACGGGAGCGTCCTGAATTTTGACGTTCCAATGTTCGTGGGTTGCTTGCAGCGGGAGTTCGCGTCAAATTTCAGATTGGGCCTCGTCATTTTCATGATGGCCCCCGTCAGGCCAACCCGAGTCTCCCTAACCCGAGTCATACGTCTCCCGGAAGTATTCATAATTCAGATGAGTAAGAACGCATTCAGCGGCGATTCTGAGAAGGCACAGGCCTTTGAGAAGTGTTCTAAGCTTCCCCCGAAGACACAAAACTTCTCCTTCTCACTTCCCCCCTCGCTCGTCGCTGACAGATATCATAAACATCGGTGTTCGGAGGTCCGCGTGGATTTCTTGAACCTGCGCTGGGCCCTCCTGGCGGCGTCTCCGGCGCCGCCCCTCGCACGCTCCGCGCGCCGCGGAGGGGGGCCGATCCCCATCCAAGAATCCCGCGTGGACCTCCGAAAGGTTGTGTGTTCCCTTCACATCCTGCCTGTAAGGGTTCTGTGTGTTTCTTTTTTCAACACTGCTGGCCTACCTGGTCTGCTCGGGCTCCGTCTCTGTTTTTGTCCCTCGTTTCTTGTTCTTCCGCTTCGTGTCTTATGATCAAGGGAGGGAAAGCACCCCGACCCCGAATATTGGCGTCTACGAAACGGCCCTTTGCGTTTAATAAGCAGGCCCTGCCCTGTTCGATTCCTGCCTTGGGCGCGTTTGCTACATGGCGTCGCTTGTCGGGGTGCTTATAATGGTAGTGCTTTGTTGATGGCTCCTTATTGCAGCTTCCAGTGCAGCCCACCGCTCGCGTTGACAGGCGCCTGGCCGTCTCGCACACCCTGGCGCCCGCGGACTTCAAACAGTCTCCCCGCAACTGCCGGCGAGGGAGTCTGGCCCCCCCCCCCAGAACCGAGGGCCCAGCGTGGCCCGCTGTCGTGGCCCCCTTTCCGCACAACTGTGCAGACAGTGCAGCCCTGGGCCTCTTAGATGGGGTCGGACTTGATGGGGTCGGAGGATCGCGCCGCATCGCCGATGCATCGTCGATGCGGCTCGATGTGGGGCCCGATTTGCTTCACGTCGACGTCGCCGAATCACTGCCGACGTCGACGATGCATCGCCGATTCATCGCCGATGTACGGGCGATGCGGCGCGATCCTCCGATCCTCCGGCCCCATCTATTCCGAATCATTGAGGAAGCCCCAGCTGAGCTGTTTAGGGGCTCCTGCCGCATGGGTGCCATTGCGGGTTCTTCTCGGCGGCGAGCGGGGAAGGGGAAGTGATAAGGATGATGCCCTCTCAGAAAGCGACGGGGCTTCTCGAAAACCCTCCAGCCTTCTGAGCAGTTCTCTGTGTGTTCGGATGAGGCGAAAACATTTTTCAGAAGGTTCCAAACCTTCTGAAAAAGGCCCACCCCTTCTCACTTTCCCCCTGGGTTCGCCGCCGATCTTTTGCTTCTTTGTCTCGTCTTATCCTCACCCCTGGCATCCGCCGGTGTTTTTTTCAATCCGCGGCCCCTGAGGTCCCGACCACTGCCCCAGGGCTGATTTTCCAGGATGCATTTTTCACGGCCCAGGGGCCCGAGAGCGGCGCCCGAGGGCCGAAACCTACGACAAAAACGCCGGCAGACAAAAATTACATCGTCGGAGATAGGGTCTTTCAGGAGCGACAGAAGGACGTGCATGTACATGAATCCACGCTGGTTTCGAGAGTACGCATCGCTTGAATGTTCGTATCATGCGGCCGGTCTCGCGGATCGAGGGGCCACGTTCATGTACATGGTTGGGCGCGTACGTCCTTTGTGGGTTCCCTAGTGTTCAGGTCAGGGGCGACCGACGCCAGGGAGGGATAGGCTCATGGGAGAACGCATCGACCCCCAATCGCCCATTCATCGCCGATGGGGGCCCGATAGCCCGCCCCGCTCAGGAACGTGGTGCTCTGCTATCGGGGCCTTCTCGCGTGTCCATCGGCGATGCATGGCCGATTCCAGGTCGATGGTTCCCCCCCCGAGATGGTCCCCCCCCTGTTGCGTCTCATCAGGATGGCGTGATGTACACGCCCACCCTGAGCCGCAACGCTCCAGGGCTCCAAGACGACGGCCGGCTCTGGCTGCGGGCCGACATGCTCCGCTGAGGCCGCCCCCAGGGCGGGCCGCGCTCCTCAGCACAGCCTCGGAGGCGCGCCCTGCGGAGCGGAAATGCGTCGGTTTCTGCGAGTTGCGCGCTTCTGGTCAGCGGCGAGGGTGAGCGCCAGCGGAGTCAAACAGCCCGCGGGCCGCAAGAAGTGGGCGATCAGGGGGAATGCGGGAGGAGGCCTCAGTAGAGAATCTTGGCCACGAGGATTGCGCATTCGGCCTCGGGCATCGAAAACCGGTACAATGGGAAGATGAGCAGCCCGTGCAAGTTGCCGAAGGCGAAGGCAGCGCGGCCCCACCGAAGAGGCATGTCATCATCCACAGGGCGGAAGGCAGCATGTCTGTGTATGTGCCAGGGTCAGTTACCTTGGCACGTTTTACCGTCGGTTCTTGCGCATTTTCTTGCCTCGGGGTGCGCTTCAGTAGCTGGGCCTCGCCGAGAGCGCTGCGGGGCTGGCCAGCTCCGCGCGCCAGGGAGGGGGTTCAGCTCCGATCCACGAAAGCCGCGCGGACCTCTGGAAGTTTCTGGTCATGCAGCTCGCCTTCTCCAAAAAGCCAAGCACGCATGCCGCCGCTGACGCATCGAATGAAAACGATCGGCAAGCCGCACGCCAAAGGCCACTCATTGTCGGGGGCCACTCCTACGTGTTGCTGACTCGTTACCCACCAGACAGTCAGGGACAGCCTCAGGCAGGAAAGGCTCCGGAGGGGACGTATCGACCCCAAATCGCCTGTTGATCGCCAAAAGGAGCCTGATAGCTCGCACTCCCCCCCGCCGGAAGGTGCCGTTTTACAATCGGGGGCCAACTGCCAATCTATCGGCGATGTATCGCTCGCCGATTCCAGGTCAATGCCCCCCCCCGCTGAGCCAGCCGCCCCTCCCCTATCGTTATCCATCCGACAGGCCCTAGCGGGCGAAGATAGTAATGACATGAACTTGGCCCGTCACGAGGGGCGCCTGTCCCAGGGCGGGTGGGAAGAAGTACACCCACGGCGGCACGTTGGGGTATACAGTTTCCAGCCGCCCCCGACGGCGCAAACGTTTGTTTCATACCGTTGCTCGTTTGCTACATGTTGGGTCTGCTCCCCACCCGACATATTGGGGCTGTTAGCCATTAAGAAGGAGGTTCCCGTCCAGCCATCTCCAACCCTGCGTGCCGCGGCTGCTGGGCCCCAATGGCCCCGGTGGATCTTGGGGATCCCGCTTCGCGGGCTCCACCAGGGAGGCGTCACGCCGTCCAGATGTCGCGTCGTCACGCCGCCCACAGACACCTAGCACCCACCAAGATAGTACAGTAAGAACATACATTAGGACGAACACCAAGTACATGCACAACTCATTCGCACCACTAGCACACAGCAGGAACAGACACACCAAAATGATACACCAGACCGATAAACAGAATCATACACGCGTACGTATGTGTACAACGATATAGGAGGCATAAAAGGCGATCACAAGTCTCACGCATAAGCAATGTATGCACGAGCGGCATACTACACAGCCATAGCACAGCAGCGTACACATCAGCAACATGCACCACAACGAAACTTCAATACTGTTCCACAGGAGCACCAGGGTTCGCGAAGGCATCACGGCGGGCGTCTCTGCCGACCATACGTCGGTCTTCCTGGCGCTCGGGCCGTCAGACGAAGGGGGCCCCCCGCGACGGACAGAGTCACGGCGTCAGAGGTCCCGGGAGCGGCCAAGGGCGTGGCGATGGCGGTCGCCAGAAGGCGAGCTCGTGGGTCTCGATCTCTTCGCTCTCCTCTGTCTCCTCGCTGTTCCTCATGGTTTTCCTCGGCAGCTATGGCGGTGACGACGAGAAACGACGACGACGAGGGGGGCACGTAGGCGACCCGAGCGAGGCGCAGCCCGCCGCGGTGCAGCGCAGCCCGCCGGCTCGCGAGGGCCTGGTCGCGAGCGGCGGGGGGCCCGCTCGGCGGTGCCCGGCGGGCTGGGCCGCGGGGCTGAGGGCCGAGGCGTCGCCGCCGCCGCCGCCCTTTCTGCCTCCCTCCCCAAACGATCCGAGGATCTGTTGTTTTCAATCTGGCGGTCTTTCATGGACTTCGGCCTCGGGGGCCCGTTATCGGGCCGGGGGACCAGCAAAAATCGAACCGGGACGGCGAACGAAACCGCCTCCAGGGGCAGGGGTCGGGACGGTTTTGTTGCCTCGGGGACGCAAACATTGTGTAATGTACCATGGGTTGTGATATTTCGGGAACGCGAATGCGGTGTGATTTGCAAAGGTTTGCTGCCTCGGGCGCGCAAAACATGAATAATGTACGAGGGTGGTTTCGGGGACGCGAGCATTGCGTAAGTTACGAGGGGTTATGGTTTCGGGGGCGCGAATCTCATGTATTTTTACATGTCCCACGCTCTCCACGGGAATTCAGGCAACGCGATTTGGGCGTGGTATATTGCCGATTTGGGGCTCCCCCCCCCTCGCGCGGACTTGACCATTCACAGTAGGATGCGGAAAGCAGGACTTTAACATTGGAGACTTGAAAGTGCAATCGGTGCAGAGAGCAGCTTGTCCTCACCCTACAGCCTGGTGGCCCCACCTGGGGCCCGGTGGAGCATTCTTATAATTCTTCTTCGTATTGATAGTGACCCTACGAAGGCGCCTTGTGTCCCGATCCCCCCAAAACAAAAACAACGCTCCCCCCCCCTCTCGTTCTTACGAAGCTCCCCCCCCCGTTCTTCCGCTCCCCAACAAACAAAAACAACAAAAACAACGCGGACCTACGAAGGAGCCCTGTATTACGAACGCTCCCCCCCTCGTTCTTCTTTCTCCCCACCAGACAGGTTGGGGCCCTTAGATTTTAAGAACCGACCTCCTGGCCACTCCCACCCTGCATACCGCGGCCGGCCGACCCCAAGTTGTCCCGAGTGTCCTGGTTACTGGTTATCCCGCCTCGCGCGCTCGACAAACACAACAGATTGCACCCTGCATACCGCGGCCGCCAGACCCCAAGTTATCCCGAGAATCCCGGGTATCCCGCCTCGCGCCCTCGACAAGCACGACAGAACACAATATGGCACAACATAACATGACAGGACAAAACAAAAGCATGACATAACATGGCAGCACATAACATATCAAGATCACGACACAATAGAGGACACCAGCATATCACATAACATACCAGAGCAGAACATGCGAGAACATACTACGACGTACCACAACATCATATAACAAAATCGAGCATAACATTAACCACATTGACATAACATAGCATGCCATGACACAGTGCCACCGATCATATCATAAGACGACAGCAGAGCATAGCGGCGAGCACGCAAGAGCACACTATGTAACACCAGACGGTAACATAACATAACACGATCATGGCATAACATTGCATAACATAACATAGCAATACTACGACACACATGAGCAGGCTATAATATCACATAACACGTCATATTGCGGCATAACACAACCACACATAGCATAACCGAGGAAGCCATAAGACACCTGGGCATACCATCCCATACCATTGCACTTCATCGCAGAACATATCAGACCATGACAGTATCACATGTCGCCACATACTAGCATAGCAGGATATCATATATTAAAACATGGACTTGCGACCTGGCCCGGCCGCCGCTCTGGCCAACGCCACCGGGCACTGCGCACATCCTTCCAGTAGGCGCGCGCACCGTTGGGTCCAAACGCCGAAGGTTTCGGTGGGGATTGCTCGAAGCAAAATATTTGGGGGAGTCGATGGGGCCGCTTTTAGGGTTCCGATGGGATTCTATGGGGCAAAGAGCCCAGCCCTGCCCCTTCCCGCTCCTCTACAATCACACCATATGAATACTACTCTCCCCTGATGACGTCCGGGAACTATTCGACCCCCCTCCGCGTATGGTTTTTGACAGGATTCCCGGGAAGCATGTTTTCGCTTGGGTTGTTTCAAGATGTTGTTCCCGCTGAAGCGTTGGCATCATGTTCGGGCTTCCGCTCGCTCCCAATCGTGTTCCCGCTACGGCGCTGGCCGCATTTCCGCGCCGCTCGTTCCGAATCGTGTTCCCGCTGCAGCGCTGGCCTTCCAAATCGGCTCCCAAATCTAGAAATTGCCCCCCCGAAAAAACAATCGGAAGAAGTGATGGCACATTCGGTGTCGGTTCGTCGATTTGTGGAGCCGCTGAAGCCACCCCCCCACTTTGGGGCGTCGTCGTTTTCAGGAAATATCAAGCGGGAGCCCCGTCTCTGCTGCGAGAAAGCGATATTGAAAGCTGAGCCAGCGGTGCTCTCCATCAGCCCCGCCAAGGAGCTGGACATGGAGCCACCACTCCAGATCGGCCCAGACCTCTCGAAGACGGCCCGCTTACCCTCCAAAGAACCTGGCGCCATGCCTTGACATGTTGTGCGGTGTTGTTTTCTGCGCCGTTGTGCGATGCCATACATTTCGTTGCAACGTTTTGTGGTGCAACGCTTAACTGCGCAATATCACGCTATGTTGTGGCATGCTACGCTCCGCCGTGCTCTTCTACGCCATGCCATGCCGTGTTCTACCATGCATCGCGCACCCTCTCGCGATCATCGCCTTGCTCGACATCCGATTGCGCGAGTTAGAAGAGATATCTACGCCATGGTAAGGGATGGGAGGGATCCCCTTCCCCTCCCCCCTTCCCTTCCTCCCCCCCGCTCCCCCCCCCAGACCTCCAGAGCTCCTCCCCGAGGGCTTCTCCCCCCTGCCCCCCCTCCTCCCCTCTGCTCCGCCCTCCCCCCCTCCTCCTCCTTATCTCGTTGGCGGGGACGCCAGGACTTGCCCCACCGCAAGCGCCCCCACCTCGAGGGGCTCACGGGCCGACGCCATCGGGGCCGGCGGGCCAGCGCACGGGGGGGGAGACGCCTTCTTGCGTGACCGTGTCTCTATTTCCTGGCCGCCCAACCCCGGCCGGCCACCGCCTGGGATTGACGCCGTACAGGCTGGGCAGGCGCGGCTGGCGCTGCGTTGCCCCCAGAGCCTGCCCAAACGCTGAGCGAGCCCCGCAGCCCCCCACGTTCGAGGGTTTTGCGCTCGATGGCGGGGCCCGCCGCCATAGCGGTCGGGGCGGCTTGGTGGGCTCGGCCTGCGTAGGGGCTCGCTGGCAACCCGAAGGTTCCAGCGCGGCCCTTGCGAGGGAGGGGAGGGGGACGGAGGCAAAGAGGTGAAGGAAGGAGGCAGAGGAGGGAGGGGGCCAAAAGAGCCCCTGGCCCTGCCCACGCTGCCCGCGTCCGGGAGCCTCCGCCACGCCGGGGCCCGGCACCACGCGTACTCCGATTCGGAGAACGACGACGGAGACGAGAGAAGGCGACGGGGGCGACGGAGGGGAGGGAGGAGGGCGACCGAGGCAGAAAGGCGGAGGAGGAGGAGGAGGAGGACGAAAAACGGGCGCGGAACAGGGCAGAGGCAGAAGAGAGAGAGAGAGAGAGAGAAGCGGCCCAAGGAGCGAGGAGCCTCGTCTTCGGCCCATCCCCCCAGCCCCCCACCACCCCAAGCGAACCGCGCCGGGCCGTGTCGGGGCCGTCGGGCGGGTCGGGTAGGCAGGGCAGGCGGCTTCGGGCAGGAGCCCAGGCAGCGAAGCCTGATTTGGGAGAAACGCCACTGACTGCTCCCTGGAGCCCATAAGAACATGGCCCAGCCAAAAGCCATGGGCGCTCTGTGTTTCGTGGTGCACGGACCATGCCGCCACACATTATGTCGACTAGACGTAAGGGTGCGGGCACAGATGGGTCCCCTGATGGTTGATCGCGAAGCTTTGGCAGCGGTTTTCGCGCCCAGGTTTGGCAACCCCGCGTCGCCCAAAAAGCCGCGCAGCAGCGTGTAGCCGATTGTGCTCCAGCCGCCCTCAACATGTAGATGCAAAGCTATCGCGCGCAAGTCTCCACTGCATGCTCCCCGACATCACCCCCCCGTGCGGGGGTCTTCGACCAGGTCGGACGGCACGGGGAGATTCAGGATGGGGCGGGGTGAGGGTGCTCGAAAGCTGCTGCGCGCAGCTGGTTTCGGCCCCGCCGCTGGGCACACACACACACACACACATACATACGACAGCGCGGCCGCTTGCAGCCCCGAAGAAGCCAGCTGCACGCGGCTGCGTCGCTGACCAAACCCGTTTTGTTGTTACCGCGCGTGCAATCGTGAAGGGACGTGCTTGGGAGGCGCCAGGCATTGGAGGATCACTTGATTTTGTAATGATGGCGGCAGTGATACACATGATGGCCAATCCGCGATTGGAGTTCCACCGGCTTCCAGATCCTGGATTTCTCATTGAACGGTTCCTTACAGTCAGACCGAGGTACAAGATCGAGGTCGGTTCGGGGAGGGTGCCCTAGTGTTCTTCGTGCTTGTTGGACGTCCGTGTGCATCCTGGGAATGATGCCCTTGGATGTCCTGCCTGTCTTGGCCAGCGGAGGGTCTCGTGTTCTTGAGGGATGTTATTCTGGCCTAGGCCCGACTGCATCCAATGCCCTCACCGTATCCCTCCCCTCTCGCCCGCCTCACTCTGAGCGGGAGGAGCAGGGGAGGGCAAGGCCTACGCGAGGCGCCGCGGGGAAGAGCACGGCCGCTTCTGCGCGCCCCCGCTTGCCCGCTGCCTGGGGCCGTTCACGACGACGACGACCACCACGACGACGACCACGACGACGACCGCGATGACCATGATGACCACGTTCACGACGCCAGCCACGACGATCACGACTAGACCACGACCACGACCGCGACGACGACGACGACGGCGACGACAGCAATATCGGAGGTTCGTAGACCAGGGGGGTATCCCATGGTGAGGTCAGGGAACGATCCCCGGACGGGACCGCGGGGGGTATCTCAGTGTGGGGGTGGGGATATCCTGATTGGGTGCTCACATTCCATGCTACACGTGTTGAGCGATCTCCCGCTGACCCCGCCTCTGCCCCATGCCCCACCACTACGACCCCCCGAGGAGGAGGAGGAGGAGGAGGAGGAGGAGAAGGAGGAGGTGGAGGAGGAGGAGGAGGAGGAGGAGGAACGGGAGGAGTAGGAGGAACGGGAGGAGGAGGAGGAGGAGGAGGAGGAGGAGGAGGAGGAGGAACGGGAGGAGGAGGAGGAGGAGGAGGAGGAGGAGGAGGAGGAACGGGAGGAGGAGGAGGAGGAGGAGGAGGAGGAACGGGAGGAGGAGGAGGAGGGACAAACACTACGGGCGTCGCGGCAAACTCACGGCCGTGGGCAGCAGGGCCGCTGTCTCTCTCCCTCCCGCTCGGTACTGCCCCCCCAAAAAAAACCAGGGCCGTCCGTTCTCGGAGCCCTGGAGTGACGGCGACGCGTGGCCGAGCTCGGAGTTTTGGGGAGGGGGAGGACGAGGAGCGAGAGAAGGGGAAGGCGGAGGGAAAGGACGAGGGGGGGAAACGGGAGGAGGAGGAGCAGGAGGAGGAGGAGGAGGAGGAGGGAGCAGGAGGAGCAGCAGGAAGAGAGAGGAGGGGCCCGCTGGGCTGGCCCGCCAGCGCATCCCCCAGGGGGCGGGCGGCCATGCAGGGCTACGGCTACGCGGTGCAGGCGCCGTGCGCCTGCGCTCGGTGTCCCGGCCGGCCTTGGCCTCCTCGAGGGGGGGCCCGTTGCGATGGCATCGGTTGAGGCGACGTCGAAGACAAGACGCCAGCGGCGGTGGCCGCGACGACTACGGCGATGACCACGACCACGGCGAGGGCAACGACGATCACGACCACGACCATGACGACGACATAGTCGGCGGCGGCGGCCGCTGCGGCGACGGTGACGGCGACGCCGGCCCCGCGCACGGGCGGCCCGTGGGGTGGGCGCGAGGGGAGAGGCCGGGGCCCTCGGAGGGCCGAGTGGGTCGGGCGTTTCGCAATTGGGGGCATGGGTTGAGTATGTTCCTGGGCCAGGTCCCCTGCCGTTCCACAGAGCTGCGCGCAAGAACTTGACAACTTTTTTTCTCTGGTCGTCATGCGCCCCGAACCTCTGGACCTAGCCCCCAGGGCATGATCAAGGCATGGGTGTGGGAAATCAGTGGCTCGTTTTGACTCGGCGGCGAGCGAGGGGGGGACGTGAAAAGGACAAGGCCTTCTCAAAAGGCGGCGGGGCTTCTCAGAAAGCCTCGGGCCTTCTGAAAGTTTATGTTTTTTTTGTTTTGTTCCAGCGCCTTCGGTGTAGGCGCAGACACTTTGTGACGGAAATAGCGAGGTACGAGTGATGTACGGTGAGTTGGGGCGAAGCCATCTAGGGAGGAGTGCAGAGGAAGGGCCACGAGGGGCCGATCGGATGTCGGAAAGAGCGAGGTACGAGTGATGTACGTTGAGTTGGGGCGAAGCCGTCTAGGGAGGGGTGCAGAGGAGGGGCGAGGCCCGGCATATTGGATGTAATGGCCCGTTTCCTTCGCATTTGTTCTAGCCAAGCGGCTCCTAGTTTTCCACGAATGCTTCCGCGGCTGCCAGCGACGAGCCTTGGGCAGAGAAGGCGCGAACTATCCGATACCCCGAAGCACCAGCGTTTTTCGCATGGGATCCCAAGGCCCGCTCGTGGAAGCCCCGAGCGAAAGCAGCGCGTCGACGGGACGTCGTCGGCCGATTGATGCATGTGAAAGCAGGCTGCGGAGAGCTGTATTACCTGCGCCTCCTCCTCCTCCTCTTGTTCGTCACTGACGCGCAAGCGTCCTCCTGGAACTCCCTTGCGCGATTCCAACCTTCCACCGCGCTCGGGAGCTCGGCCTCTTTGCACGACGACATGGGAACTCTTGCAATGCTCTGGGCAAGCGCTTCAATCTGCACCAGCCTTACAAGCCTTGCCGGCCTATTCGCCAAAACGCTGGTATGGGTGGATGTCCACGACCGTTGCAACCTCTGGGCCTCCTTCCTGGAAATGTTGTCTGCGCACCACCGAGAGGCAGAGCCCGCCGCCGTGTGCCGGTTGGTACAAGGAGCCCTCGCACGATACAAGGTGTGCACCATCAGTACCCGAGACAGCCTGCGTTTCGTGTTTGGCTGAAGCTGTTGACGCAAATGTCATTCGGCCGAGTCTGGTCGAGTCGCGCAACGCGTTCGAGTACGACATCGCGCAGGGCTACTTGGAGACAGGAGGCGAGACTGGTGACTGCGTGGCCCTCTGCGCATACTTACAGGCGTGCACGGAAACCGAGCTCAACGACCCCTCTGATCCTCGCGCAATGTCAGATTGCGTCGCGACGCCATTCAGGGACCTGCCTCGCTGGGCACCTGCAGCGCTAGCCATCATCCCCAGCATGAACTACAGCGAACTTCCGAATATCGGCAGGAACCTACGGAACCCCCCCCCGGGAGGAGCGACAGATGACGGCCGACAGTTGGGGGGGCCGGCGAAAGAAAGCGAGAAGGCCATCGAGGGCATCTCGGGCCAGATCAAGATCCTCGGCGATGAAGGCGAATGAGAAGACATGGCACGCAAACTGAAGAATCTCGGCGAGTGGAACGGCGCAGTGAGGGCCCTCAAAGGCTCCATCGGAAGTCACCCACCAACGTGTCGATCCGTCTCCGAGGCCAAGATGGCTGCGGCGACGGTTGATCACTGCGCCGCTGCGCCAGGACTGGAAGGACCTCCAGCTGAGAAGGGCCACGTACTGTTCGGACCCGAGGAGAAGTGCATCAGCGCCCACCCGAGGAAGGCCTACAAGCTGCCCAGGAAGAACAAGAGGGTCTTCAACCAAACGATGAGCGACCTCTGGAAGACGGGTCACAGGGCCGAAGTGGCGAAAGACCACCTACTCGACACGCCCCATCAGTATGACTGCATTGGTCGCGCTGGTTCTGGATACTCAATGTGAAGCGGAGGCCCCCGTTTTACTCGTGAACATCTCAGGGTTCATGGTTCATTGAGTGCCCTCATGTCCATGGGGCAATTGCGCATCCAACCAGACAGCGGCGGATAATTAATTGGGCGCCGATATGCGTTCGGGAGATGCGCGACTAGGAGCTCAGCGAGAAGGAGGCCCAGATCGACGCTGCCTACCACGGCGCCAACTTGGCAGCACAGGCATCCATTCGGAGCAAGAGGGGTCTGTTCGAGTCGAAGCCAGGACCTGCGAGCTTTGGAGACATGTACGGCATTTTCTGCGAAAGGACGTCCCGGCGCACCTCCTGCGCCCGCTTCATGGTGCACGCGTCGTCTGACGTCAGCCCGGAGATGAACCTTTTGTACTCTTGCATCTTCGAGCTGCAGGTTGATCGCAGCCGTCGCGCGGGCTATCTCATTATGCATGGCCACAAGCAGCGGTGCCAGACCGAAGGCGGCGCCTGCGTCGATGCCCTCTGGATCTACGCTACGACGACGAGGGGGATCTGGGACAAACTACAGGCGAAGGGGCATGTCTTCGGATAGTATAGGGTTTGGAATCACACGGTCAGGATGCACCTCGCGGCAAAGGCCATCCCGACCGAGTTTCCGAGTGCGCACGCGTACTCAGACGAAGCGACTGAGGATTCCGACTTCCCTATTCTCGAGGCCGATCTGGCCCCCAAGAGTGAGATGTGGTTTCTTGAGTGGACCAAAGATCTCAGCGCGGCAGGTCGTTTCTTGGAGCGCACCGGCAAACCGCGCGACCACCGTGGAGTCGAGCCGCAGAGTTTCATGGATCAGATGGAGCAGGCTACGGACGCAGCGAAGTCTGATGACCTCATTATGGACGTCGAGTCAGACAATCCTTTTCAAGGGTCGCTCTTAGAGATGCTCTCAAGTCCCACGTGTTCGTGGAGCTGCACAAGCTGCGCGTCGCTGAGGCTCTGGCGGTGCATGGCATGGCCACAGTACCCACAGAGAGGAACATCATCTTCTAAGGCGAGGCGGCGTTTCGGCTGCGAGAAAGTAGGACCTGTGGTTGTCAGGCCCCCGTCAGCCCCCCCTCCTTCTCCCCTTCTCTCTGCGTTCCCTTGTGCGCCGCCATGTCGGCTCACAAGGGCCCTTGAGCTATCGTGGCGCGCCGATGACGGACGCGCCCACGCCTCCGTAAAAAAGGGGCAGAGAACGCGCTTTCTTCTTGCACGGGTCCCCGTATTTGTACTTCGTGTCTCTCTGTATCCATGCACTCGCTCCGGTGCAGTCCACGCTCCCGCTAGGTGCAACCCCCCCAATGGGGGGCTCAATTTTCTTTGATCCTTCCGATGAAGACCTCCCAGCAGTTGCTTCCTAACCCTCGGCTCTCGCCCCGCCGCAGCGTCGGCGGGCGCCGCTGGTCGCCATTCCGAAGCGCGCTTGTCCGCGCGCGCGCTCGTCCGCACGCGTGCGCGCGCGCGCGCCCGCGCCCCCCCTTGGCCGGCGGTGCCGCCCCCGCCAGGTGCCCGTGGCCGGTGCCGCCCCGCCTTGCGCGCGCGCGCGAGTCGTTCGTCGGGCGGGCCGCGGATCGGCGGCACGCCGAAGGGGGCGCGGATGGAGTAGGGGACCACCCGCAGAATTCACGCATCCCTGAGTTTGTTTCCGTTGAATTTGCAAAAGAATAGTGGAATGGTCCGTAGATCTACGGAGCAGCCTACCTATGTTTTGCAAATTCGGCCGTCAAGTTAATTCTGGGGTGGATCAAGTTTGTAGTCGATCCCCTACTCGAGCGGAGGGTTTGAGGATCGGTTCGGTGTCGCGTTGAGGGGGGGAGTTTGGGAGCTTCGGGTTCGAATCCGAATGTTTTCCGGCGTTTGCATGGCTTCGCCGCGGTTTACCAGCCTCAGGATACGTTCCAGCGGCTGCGCCTCGTCGAGAGCGTGCCGGGTTTGCCCGGATCGTCCCAAACGGCCGCGGCAGCGGCGAGTTTTGACCCCCAAACGGCCAGGTTTCCGCGAAGGGGCATGCTTCTCAGCAGGCAGCGGGGCTTCTCGGCCATCCGAGGTGCGCCCTCTGCAGCGTCAGAGGAGGCTCGGAAGGCGGCCTCAGAACGTCGGATGCCTTGTGAGTTTGAGCAAGCCAGAAAACGTCGAACCTCAAACCATAACATCTCGGACGTCGAACCAGAAAGGGCGGAGGGCCGCGAACCTCGAATCCGAAGACTTCGACACCTCGAACCCGAAGACCTCGAACCTCGAACCGGGGCCTTTTGTCATTCCTGCTCGCAGCGCGGCCGAGCGGAGCATCGGTTGGCGGCGGCGCAAAAAGGGAGTTCCGGGTCAGAGGCGGTGGCTTTGTACGTACAGTCGGACCGAGGTATAAGATCGAGGACGGTTCGGGGAGGGTGCCCTAGTGTTCTTCGTGTTTGTTGGATGTTATTGTGCACCCTGGGGAGGGTAGCCTTGGATAGTTTGTTTGCTTTGGCCGTCGGATGGTATCATGTTATTGAGGGATTTTTTCTGGCCTTGGTCCGACTATACGTAGCCACTGCCCAGGAAGGTTTCGATCTTCGGGGGCATCGGCAGGCGGTGGACGGAGACCCCCGTCGGGTCATGGAGAGAATGCGACGGGATATGTTTCTTTATTTTTGGCCTCTGGGGGCCCTTACTGGGCTTTGGGGCCGTCGACATAAATATTCAGAATGACGCACCAGTCCTGGGGAATGGGTCGAAATTTCTGGGGGTCGACGTTATAAGACAAATCATGTCG